TTTACATTTTATGTATTAGATTTAAAGTTATTCATGAATAAAGTTTGGTTATTAGAGTAGTGATCTTTATATTATCAGATACTTTTGGCAAGTGAGTATACATATTATACTATAAATAAATCAATAAAAATTAATATTTACTTAATAAATAAATTTTTATTAATTATATTTAGAATAGTTACTATGTATCAAATTTTATTAAAGAATATTTTATTTTAAAAAAAGTTTTAATAAAATAATATAATTTTTATTATTTTATATAAATTTATTTTCTATTTAAACTACTTAATAATAATATTCTTTAAAAATGAAACATTATTTTCTATACTTAAATTTATATATATTAATTTCTAAAAATATCAAAGGTATACATTTGTATTAATTTAATTTGAAAAATACTTACAAAATATAGATTCAAAGCCTATGTAAGGCACGATAAATCTTTATTGATTTCATAAAAGAGTATAAAAGTTGAATCTTAAAATATTAAAGTAAAGAGTTTAATTAGATATAAATAAATTTTATAAGAATAGTATCGATATACAGTATAAGGATATATTATAGAGTTGAATAGAATTTTAATGAGCTTTATACAGTATATAAATTTTAAAAGATAAATTTAATATATTCATTTGTTTGTTATAATTTAGATCCAAAAAATATTATTATTCAACGAATTAAATTTTATTAATGTTATCTATAAAATATGATCAATGTCAGTATGATAGCTCCATTTATCTTGCAATTTTTATAATTGTTTATATATATAAAACAAGGCTATTGTTGTATTCTGAATTAAAAACTTTGTCACGAATATACAGTATGTTGAGAGAGATGGCTGCATTTTTATGTCTAATTATGTCGGTGTCTTCATATTTTAGACTTTTAAATACAACAAAGTAGAGTCCACCCTTTCCGATAATGGTTTTGTATAAGGAATGAACTCACTTTTATAAACCGCTTCATTATTGTCTTCCGCATTTTCCAAATTCTCGCATCTTTTAAAGTCATCGCATTTCGATAATTCGGATAGAATTTTTTTGTCATTTTGCCATTCATTTAAAATTTCGTAAATTTTTTCTGCAGATGGACGGTTTTCTGGATTATTATCCCAACAACTTTCCATGAGATCTATATAATATTGCGGTGTGCCTGCGATGATTGGAGGTCGAGTACCATTACATACTTGGATTTGATATTCATACGAGCTATCAAAAGGCACAGCTCTTCCCGAAGAAATTTCCCACATAATTATGCCGAATGAGTAAATATCAGATTCCAGGGTATACGCCTTACCACATAAAACTTCCGGAGCCACATAAGGCAAAATTCCGAAAATCCCGCCAGATCCTGCATTCAATTCTCCAGAGGCTGGTGTCGAAAGACCTAAATCTGCGATGTATGCACTATATAAGTTATCTTGCAATATATTTCCGCTGTGTAGATCTCGGTGAATAATATTTTGAGAATGAATTATTCGAAGATCTGAAGCAATGCAAAGTAACAAATTTAATTTCAATTTCCATTCCATTTGCGCTATTGAACAAAGATTTTTGCGTAGAGGACCCTTTGTTGCAACTTTCATCACAAGAATATAATCTTTAGAAACATCGTCCCTTGAAATTCCATAACATCTTAAAAATGTAGGATTTTGAAGTCCAATATCGCAATATGCCTTTAGCTTTATAACAATGATAGTTAAAAATATGTCGCATTATTGAAAAATAAACGTAAACAAGTATAAGAAATTTACCTCTTTTAAAAATTCCTCGAGGTATCCTTTTGACCCGTGAAGTAATTTAAGTGCAACACCTATGTTCCTATTATACCATTTGGCGTAATATACAGTTGCAAATCCACCTCGTCCTATCCTTCCGACAATTTCGAGTTCTTTGTAGGGGATCCATGATAGCGAGTATTTATTCTCAGTAAATATTTCTTTCAATTTACCGTCAATTTCTGATTCCTCGTGTACCCATTCATTATTTTCTAAGAAATGGGCTTTGATTTATTATCGATATTTGTGTATAAACGATATACTGTAAGTTTAATTATAATTACCTAGTAATCGGTCCCTTTCCCTAATTAACGATTAATATACGTATTGTTATTATAGAAAAAATTTAATAAAACATTATAAAAAGAATGCTTACATTTGATACCAATGCATTGCCATTTCTAGGTTTCTTGCAACCCCAATTCCGTTTCGATAAAATCCGGCAAGTGCATACATTCCACTCGTATCACCCGTCTCAGCTAACTTTTGATAATATTCGAATGCCTTAAGTTCATCCCTTTCGACTCCAGTTCCATTGTGGTAGAAATTACCAACTGCACGCATTCCGTCAGCATCACCCATATCAGCTGACTTTTGATAATATTCAAATGCCTTATGCTTATCCTTTTCAATTCCAATTCCTTCATCATAACAATGACCGACATTGTACATCCCACTTACTTCGCCCATCTCAGCCGATTTTTGATAGTATTCAAATGCCTTTTGTTCATCCTTTTCAATTCCAATTCCATTTCTATAACAATGGGCCAAGTTATATGCCCCGCTTGCGTGACCCATCTTGGCTGATCTTTGATAATATTCAAATGCCTTATGTTCGTCCTTTTCAACTCCGATTCCTCTATCATAACACCAACCCACACCACGCAATCCATCGGCATCACCCATCCTGGCCAATTTTTGGTAATATTCGAATGCCGCACGTTCATCCTTTTCAACTCCAACTCCTTTTTCATAGCAACAGCCAACATTATGCATCCCCCTTAGATCCCCCATCTCAGAAGATTTCTGATAGTATTTGAATGCCTCGAGTTCGTCTTTTTCTACTCCAATCCCATTTCGATAGCAATGAGCAATATTGTAAATTCCATTTACATAACCCATATCAGCTGATTTTTTGTAATACTCGAACGCCCTATATTCGTCCTTTTTAACTTCAATTCCATTATGATAATAGTAACCGATTTGACACAGTCCATTACCATTTCCCGCTTCAGCTGACTTTTGATAATATTCGAACGCCTTGCCTTCGTCTTTTTCAACTCCAATTCCATTTTGATAACAATAACCAACTTGACACGATCCATCAGAATTGCCCATGTCGGCCGATTTTTTATAATATTCGAATGCCTTATGTGCGTTCCTTTCGACTCCGATCCCATTCTCATAACAATGGCCAGTATTGTATAATCCATTTACATCTCCCATCTCGGCTGATATTTTATAAAGTTCAAATGCCTTGTGCTCGTCCTTTTCTACTCCAAATCCCTTCTCATAACAGCAACCAACATTGTATATCCCACTCACATGGCCCATCTCAGCTGATTTTTGATAATATTTGAATGCCATAAGTTCATCTTTTCCCACTCCAATTCCATTTTGATATCGGTAGCCAACATTAAACATTCCTTTTGCATCACCCATTTTGGCTGACTTTTGATAATATTTAAATGCCTTATATTCATCCTTTTCCACTCCGACTCCCTTCTCATAACAACATGCAGCATTGAAAGCACCTTCTCCATGGCCCATATCAGCTGATTTTTGATAATATTCGAATGCTTTATGTTCATCCTTTTCAACTCCAACTCCCACATCGTAACAAACGCCGACATTATACGTCCCATTTACATGGCCCATCTCAGCTGAATCTTGGTAATACTTGAATGCCTTGTACTCATCCTTTTCAATTCCAATTCCATTTAGATAATAATGGCCAACATTGTGTATCCCCTCGCGAACTCCCATCTCAGCCGATTTTTGATAATATTCGAATGCTTTACGTTCATTTCTTTCGACTCCAACTCCATTCTCATAACAACAGCCAACATTATACGTCCCATTTGCGTCCCCTATTTCAGCTAATTTTAGATAGCACGCGAAAGCTTTATATTCATTCTTTTCGACTCCAACGCCGTTCTGATAACAATATCCTAGAATCATCAATTGTTTGTCCTTTTCAATTCCATTTTGGTAGCAACGTTCTATGATAACCGCTTCACCCATCTTTGCTTATTTATGATATCGTCTAAATTTTTTCTATTATTATTAATTTGTGAAGATAAAATTTATCGAAAATTGCGAAGAGATACAGTACGCAAAATCACCACAGATAGCGGTGCCCGACTTTTATAAGAAAATCGGGCATCATTTTCCGTGGCGACTGTATGCATTTTTCTAGAATTTATTGATTACCGTTGCGCAATATGTACTCCGCTAATCATTTATGCCCAAATTAATTCTAAAATAAAAATGGGAACGCGCATTCTTTTGTCTAAAGACCCCATTACGTATACAGTATGCAGTGTTCACTTACTTACTGTAGAAGGAACGGAGTTTCGAAAAGCATTCGCATTAATTTTTAAACATTTCCTTAATTATCATAAAGACAAATAACGATCGTTTCTTGCAGATGTAAATGTACCGTATATTTTTTTAAAGTGAACCAATTATTTGCCAATTTAAACATGTCATATACGTAAAGTACATTCGATTGAATAATGAAATAAAGAAAACACGCATAGTTAGGCATAAAGTAAAACATCATCAAATGTTTCGATTGAAAACTTTTTATTAGAATAAGGAATTAAGAAAATAAGTGATGCATTATTATAAATCACGAGAATATGCATTTTTTTAAAGTTTCGTTCATCCATTCCATGATTTATAATATATACGTAGTTCAATATTACCGTTTTTTATAACTATCTGTGAGTTACGACAAATACGTACGTGCTATAATAATCAAATTGAACATCCGATATAAATCTTGTAATTCTGTGCGCACTTAATTGTCGATCCAAGTGGAAATACGGGAGTGAATTGCACATCAATACGTAGCGACCATTTGTTCCAAATTTGGATAAATTGTCATGTAATTTTACCCGAGGTATAAATTGGTCATTGGAAATTAAAAAAGTTCGGAAAACGGATACTTACGTGTTTATACGATAAGAAAAACCAAAATATTAATTTTCCGTTACTTATGGAAGCATCACAAAATTCGGATTCTGATTCGCAAGGCGATGGTAAGGGCTATTGAATGTGCTTGCATGTGTGAAAATATTAAAATATCAATACCTTGCATATGGAAGATAACACACTACGTGTGCACAATTGATTTGTAATATAAAGATAATCCAAACTTTTAATAGTTTCGTTGTTTGGATTTACAAAGTCAATGTGATTGATTCTAACACAAATTATAATAACACTAATCGAACACGTGAAATCTTTTGCTAACAATCGGAGTAGAAACCATCAAGCCTTTGCTCCCCTTAAACGCGAACCCCCTTGAAAATGATTTATCTCGTCTCATCCCGGGATTATACCGATTACTAGACTTATGCAAGGACAATGGATCGAATGGTCTTGGTTCGTGTGCAATATTTTCGTCCATTAGTTACACTGAAACCCTACTCTGAACTATTACGTACTTGGTCTTTTATTCTGATTAGTCGACAAGATAATTATTTCAGAAGAATCGTTAAAAAAAGAAAAAAAAAAAGAAAAAAAGAAAAATCTATTTTGACGAACTAAGAAATTTATTTTATTTAACATCTTAATAAAAATGCTTATTAAATAATTTTGAATATTAAAGATACAAGTTACTTGTGGATTCCCAATATTTAAACTCCTCGGTGAAAAGTGAAGATCAACCCTCTTTACGCCCCGGGATCTATTTGCTTATCATGCCTTCAAATTTAGGATTAGTCATTCATTGGCCTGAACCTGGGTGTTATGAAGAAAATTCATCATCTCAAATAAAGAAAAATACAGTAAATTTGCATAGGTAAATAATTTTCGCATTTACGTATTGTCAAATTATCATGCACATTCGTAATTATCTCGCATGTCGATCATTATCGCAGATACCTTACTCAACTTACGGACCATCAACTTTGCTTAATGAGTGAATTCAACTTGAAATGCCTTGACCTGATTTCAGAAAGTGACGAGGAGGAAGGGTGCTATGAGTTTGAAATAAAAAAGACCAAAGAACGAGAAGATTTTAAAATATTTCCAGGATTTGAGGTTAATAATGCGGAAGAAATTTAGAGTGCTACTGTCCACATATTAACATTTTGTAATGAATATTAGATTAATCTGCCACAAAATATAATAACAGACATTCAGAATGGCTCATTAAAACCCTTTAGTAAGTTTGACATTATTACATTTATTAAATTTCAAGTTTTTTTATCAAATCGATTAATAAATAATATTAGTTGTCGAATCTGTAACCGACCAAACACTAATGACCCGAAAGAAAGTCACAGATCCCATAGAAAAATGTCTTAAAATACCAGTGAAAGATTTTGGCAAAATGATCAATGGTCACGCCTTGAGCATCGATAGGAATTTGGACATGAAGTCATTAGTGGCGTTGATCAGAAATGGTTTACCTGAAATGGAAGATGAACTTGAACCATTTGAGAAGGCACTATAAGAAGCAAAATTGCAAATTGAAACTAAACGGACACAAGAGACGAGTACTATGAAGGAAGATAAAGAAATTATCAAGAAGCATGTGTTTGAAAAACTAAGACAAGAATACATGTATGATGTCAATAAGTTATAAGATACCATGGAAATCAAAATAAATTAAGCACAATATTTATTAAACAGTGAATTTGAACGTTTGCTTGATCGAGAAGAGTCAACAAAGAACCTACCAATGCAGCAAGATAGTGGAATTCGCGATGATATTAATCAAACTGGTGAGTAAATGATTTAAATGATAATTAGTTTCATCAATATTTAATGACTTATTTGTAGACGAAATTGAACGTATTAAATCAAGATACCCCAACATATCTTCGAGAATTTCAAATGCATTGAAAATAAATTCGAAAACATGGAGAACTCTAAGAGAAAGATATGAGTTCGTGAATATAACCATAAATGATTATTTCAGTGAAAGAATTTTTAACCAACGTGACAGACTTACTGTTTGCCAGACGTTGTTCGACATGTTTATGAATAAAGAGCAGGACTATTATCGACTTACTATGGCATATTACCTGCCTTTCTCCAGTATTTTATTTTCGCCTTTATTAATACCCACTCGGAATTATAAAGTCGATGAAGTCAAGAGAAATGCAGAAGAACTTGTCGAGAGGAAATCTGACAAAGAATTTATCCGAGAAATTACATCGATGGAATTTGGATCCCTTGAACAGCAAAAAAATAAGATCGTCAATGTTTTCTTAGAAGAATACAGAAAGTGGAAGAGAACAACTTTTCCGAAAAATATTGATGAAATTAATCTAATTTACCAAAAAGAACTTGATGATGAATTGAATATGGAATATTCAAATTTAAAAAAAAGAATCGAGGGGTACGAGAAACTCAGAATTTGCGGTGTAATAGAACGCAAGTTTTACAAAGAGTAAGTTTGTCACCCTCCCGAATACGTACTGTATCTTAAGCTATTTAAAATAATATACGTATATAAGATTTATATGTATTTAATTATGGTTAAGGTTCGGATCTATTATAAAGATAGTGGATTTGCGCGGTAAGGTTTGTTGCAAATATCATACAAGAACTTTGGTGAAAATATGTTGTTATTAAAGTATAACTTGTTTCTTGCTAGGTACTGGAAGAAACCACATTTATTGTAAAGTCGAAACGGTTCGCCTCCAAATTACATTCTATCAAGCAACAATCGAAGAAGAAGATAAATTTTTACTTTCTGAAAATGAATTTCATGTTCCTACACCTAAATTCGCACGCCGAAATTCAATATTTTCTTTTCAAATTAACCCGGAAACTCATGAGATCAGGTAAACACGTCTGATGCTTTATAGCAATCTTTTTTCCATTACATTTTATAAGTACGTAACTGGTCTCATGCATATAATGTAGAAATGTATGCCAATTTGGAACTAAAATTTTTGTCGCATTGTGGAATAAAGAAAGGAAATGTTTAGAAATAATTATTGAGACGATATCGCATTTCGTTCGGTCAAGATTACCGAAAATATTTAAACGATTGCATCTAGAAAATGATACCCGTATTTCCGTAAACGAGCCAAAAAGATTGATCGGATTTTATAGTATTGATTCAGGAATTGTAAGATACCCACTGCACATTTAAGCATATTTACGTATTTTCAAACAACATTGCACGCTAATAACTATTTATTTTACCAACATCTTTATTAAGTTGAATGTTTTTGAGTTTGATGAGGCATTTGTGACGCTTCTTCCTCGTGCCGAAAATGTAAACATGGCCCAATGGTACAATGGTTCAATACCAGATATAAAGCATTTCTTCTTTATCAAAAGTACAGAGGATCTATGCTTTGTGGAAAAGAGTGGACGTACGAGGGTTTACATGTTTTCTTCAAACCAATTTCGACCCGAATCTTTACAACTACCATCAAACTTCTCGAAGGTGCTAAGTACACCTGATGGATCCTGTATCGTTGCCTTTGTTAGGGAGATTGCAGCCGAGGAAGGAGAAAAAAATGACAATATCGAGAGCGATACTGAAAAAATTAACGATATAACCGAATTCGTAGACCCTGTTAGTCATGGCTCTGTTTCGGAAGATAATAAAGAGGGATACCAAGCACATATATTCTTTTACGCAAAGTTCGGTAGAGCCGCTAGTAAAGGTAACATTTATTTTTAGTCGATTGTTCGATCTATTTATCAATTAATATCTAATCAATTGATTCCATTATAGTTATTTCTGTGGGAGGAAACATTCAATCAGACGAACATTTTCAATTTACACGTATCATGGAGCAAGTACACCTTATTAATCTCGATTTGAAAAACAACGCGTTTTTCTCATTAATTACAAAGATCACGTCTGAAGAGACGCAATGCAGATTCCAAAAGAAATCCAACAAAAGAGTAATGGGGAAAGAAAAGGTTTTGGTTTCTTCTCATGAAGGTAAAGAATATTCTTTCTTGGAGGGAAAGAATACGAACTTTTATGATGATATTTCTGCTGGAGAAGGTGTAGTTATTATGGGCGAAAAGAGACGAGTTCATGAAATCCTTTCGAAAACGAGGTTGAAGATCTCGGGGACATTTTCAAGCTTTGTTGATCGCAACTCTTGGATGAATTTTCAAATAGAATCTAAAAATAGGCATAATGATTTTATCAATATATACAAACATATGTTTGAAAAATACTCGATCGATAACTGCATGGGTTCCGATCAAAAAAGATCTCTAAATTTAAACTTGGTTTTGGAAACTCCCAGCATTGATAGGGAAGGGTACGAAGAAAAGCTCAGAGATTATGTTGAAAACATGTTTGAAGATCTAAAACGATCCACAAAGAAACCGGCTGATGCTTTAAAAATTTTTCAAACTGGTAATTGTTCAAAATATTTTTACTCGACATACTGTATTATTTTAGAGGGAGCTCTTACAATCATTAACGCATTTAGATATAATGACATTTTCGGACCTTGATCTTAATGACAATACTTTTTGGAGGAATAAATCGTCAAATATTAAACTTGGAGAGTGGTTAATTCAACTTTCTTGCTTGATCCCAATCCAAATCGCTATCTCCCGAAATAATATATTTAAGCCGCTTCTAAATGGATTGGCATCAGATGATAACATGATGGATGACATTGGGAGTGATGGTGGATTTCACATCGATATTATTGCGCAAAACATTTCATTTGGATGGTATGAAGGAATCTTCAAGCATTTTGGTGACCGCCAGGTTAAAGTGATCTCCAGTATGGGCGAACAATCATGTGGAAAATCTTATATGGTATATATATACTGTATATATATATACTGTATATCTTTCTAGAGTTTTTATTTTTCATTGACCTGACGTATTTTCTTTTACAATTTCTTATGAAAGCTGAACCATTTGATGGGAACCGCGTTTGATGGGTCTGCCATGGTAATAGAGCACACAAACATTTGATTGTCATTTTGTAATATCGTATTTTTAAAATTTTTTTCAAAACCAGCGATGCACTGAAGGCATCTGGATGTCACTAGGTAAGTATGAATTGTCATATTATTACGAGTTCGGTGCAGTACAATTATCATTACAAGCTCACCAGAATAGCTCGATTCTTCCAGCCATCACAACACAATGTATCTATGTAGCTTTTGACTTTGAGGGCTTAAGGTCCGTAGAGAGAACATCACAAGAAGGTAAATGTGGATTTAAAAATCTGATATTCTATTAAAAATGTTATGTAACAACGTCTTTGCGTTTATTTTTAGATTTGTTTTTGACATTGTTCAGTGCTCTGACATCAAATGTAGTCCTCTTCAAGGTAGATTCATTAATTCACTGAAAAAAATCAAATCAAATCAAATCAAATAAAAAAAAAAAAAAAAAAAAAAAATAGTAACTAATTATTACTACGTATTGCATTCAATTAATCATTTTTTCAAGACACAATTTGCAATTAATAAAGACTTGTCAGCGATGTTTCGGATTTTTCAGGATGGTGTCAGCCTATTAAATGACTCAAAACTATTTAAGGTATTTGACGTATTATCAAGAATTGGGGTTATATTTATTTTATATTGGTTTATTTACTGTGCAACGTACTTTAGGCGAAGCTGTGTATAATAATCAAAGATGTTCCAAAGCAAGATCGAGAAGACATCGTCGAAGAGTTTTCCTTGAAGTTTGATTCCATAGTTGCTCAGGTCTTTGCGATATACGAACTTTGTACTAAGATGGGATTGAATTGTATTAACTATGAATTTTTAAAATAACTTAAGGAAGGGGAAGACAATTTCATTACCTGCATGTATCCGAGTGGTCTAACAGTAATTCCGTATCCAGTTTTTAACGACAAAGGAATGTATTAACCTGACCCATCTACAGTATCTGATTCTCGTTCTTTATTATTAATGTTTTGCTTTTATCATGATTTTAGGGTTCGCATTTAATCGTGAAATTTTTTTACGTGTTGCATATTTAACGAGTTATGTACTTTTTTTCTTCTAGCTGGTACGTTATTAGTTAATTGATTTTAATTAATACGATGTGTTCTGCAAAAGCCACTGAAAATTCTACACATTTATTTCCTCGTAGGTTCATTAAATTAAAAGACCTTAAAAAAATGTTGGATAAGCAAGAACCGAAATATGATGATGCAAAATCCTTTTTACTAAGCACTAAGATGATTATGGCAAAAATTATGGTAACGATAGGTCAAACTATGTCTAGTGGTGATTTTTGTTTTAATTACTATAGTTGACCAATTTATTAGACCTGCGATTGGAGTTCGTTAAATGAAAACTTTGTTCACACTCGCATGTCGATATTAAAGAGTCTACTCCAAACGGCCATATATATCGGTGCGGAAGAAAAAGGTCCGGCGATTGTGAGTTTGATGGTAAGCATTATTAATGCTTTAGTAATGTGCGTACAAAATGAAAGGAGTCGCCAAATAACGTACGTATTACGCTACCTGTAGAATCACGATAGGAGAACTAAAATTGACGACCCTGAGGTCATGTTATCCGAAATATTTAAAGATTTAGCTAATTCGAAGGTACTGATCCCTGACGAAGGCTTATTTCTCTTTAAAGAAAACATCGATTTTGCGCGCTTATCAGCCGATCAAAGAGCGTACTTTGAAGAAAATATACAAAAGAGGAGAGAATGCATCGATGATACTAAATGGTTTGAGAGGCTCGATCAATTTTTCAAATATCTTGTTAGCAGACGAGCTTCAAGAGTCAGGCAGTGGTTTAAACAAAATACCAACAAATTTCCGCAAGATCATAGTGACGTTCAGATCGGATGTTTTAACATGGAGCAAGAAATTAATAAGATCACAATTCTTTGGACATTGTGTGGAATGAACTGCTCCTTATGTGGACTTCGATGCATAAAAAATCGTGATCATAGAGGTAATCATGATTGCATAACGGATCATAAATGCTACTTTCAGTGTCAACTTGTATGCAAACATGAAGCTGGCCACGATGGAATGCATATGTGTGACCACTCCAATAGGGACCCTGTATGCGGAAACCCTTGCAATCTTGTAAATAAACGAAACTGCCGAAAGGTTTGCGAAAAGGAATTCGGTCATAAGGATGATGATAACCATATGTGTCAATCGAAACGTAAATACGATGCATTTATCATTGAATATACGTAGCATCATAAAAACAAAAGCTCACCAAATTATTGCCCTAATGTAGGTCATTACCGTGATGAACCTTGTTCCTTGTCGACTCACACAATTAAAGGAGATTTTAAATGTCCTAATAAGTGCATCATACCTTACGGGGAAGAGCACGATAATTATCGTAAGAATTCTGATTTCAAAGAAAACCTTTTCTTTATTCTTCATTTTTATCGTAACGAGATGTTAAATGCTTTAACAGGTTGTGAAAACGAATCATGTCCCATCCAGTGTTCTCTACCAGGGTATGAAATAAAATTTGCAGTGGATTTAAAGATTTAAATACGAAACTCACTCTATTCGTTATCAGGTGTCAAAGAACATGCCAAAGTGATGATCACTTTCACGCATGTTCGGAAACTCGTGTCGTCCATTTTTGCGGGTTCGTATTTAAAATCGTATAACAAGAGATTGTCATTTACTAAGAACATTTGTCTCGTTCAACCAAATACTTTAGAAAAGAACATCAATGTCGGGAACTTTGTGAAGAGCCAGGAGTATGTAAAACTTCGATCAGACCCCACAAACAAGAGGCACTTACTAATGTAAAAGGTTTTTAAATGACTTTTTGGGGATTTTTGGTATTCTATGATTAAGCGATTTTATTTTATTAGTGCATTCAAGTAAGTGAAAGATTATTGTGTTACAGAAAGATTCCACCGAATATGTTAAAACACGAGGGAAAACACTCTCACGACAAAGAAAGCACACATTATTGCGATGCCCGATGCCGGTTTTGCAAATATTATGTAAGTTTCTAGTCTTGGTCCCACATAGATATTATTGTTTCAGCATTAATATCGAATGATATTTATAGTGCAATTTACCTTACGGGCACTCACAATCACTGCACGACACAAGACACGGAAATATGGTAAATCGAGAGGAACTTGAAGAAGATACAAGGTAATAATAGTGCACGAAAAATATTAATACACATGCATCATAATTAATACGCGCTCTATTCCCAGTTCCATTTATCCGTTGGAATTAGGCAGCGATTCTATCCTTTGTAATATGGTACATGCGCGTAAAATTTTTACTAAATTTTTTGTTGAAATTTGCGCTATGACCATAACTTACCTCACTGACGCGTAATTACACGACAGTACTGTAAAAATGTAGGACGTCATCGGCATGTATATTATTGTGAAGATGAGGAGGCTTGCAAAGTTAACACAGACCGCCCAGAAATCCAACATATTGATGGTATTTGATCACTCATTCTTCATTTTAGAATGTACTTCTTTGCTCACAATCTTTTTTCTTTAGCCAAAATTGAACCGAACCCTCATCGAGCAAAAGATTATATTTCACATCGCATCTTCTGGGAACGTACAGGGTTCAAAGGTGGTTATTGGTTACGTGGCATTTACAATATAATATGCTGCTTAAATGAAAATAATAATCTTTTGATTTTCTTTAGATCCATACACAGTTCAAGAGCAACAAGAATTCGCAAAATGTGATCATGAATGTCCTGATGAGATACATCGAACAGGCGGAAACAATATTAAATCATATTGCGAATTGCCTCTTTTTCACCCAGATCAGAATCCATCATTGCAACCAACAAATGGTGTTGGCTATATCTCACCACTTTTACTGTGAAAACCCTAGTAAAAGAGAGGAAACCATATTTCATATCATATTCATGTTGGATACATCTGGTTCCATGTCATTAAACGATAAAAAGCCTTTGCCAGACGCACCATGTTATGATAAGTTAAAACAAGACCATAATAATAGAATCGGGGCGATATACAATGCGGTAAATATGATCGAAATTTTAATTTATTTTAATTTATTTTTTTTTGCTTTTGTGTATGTGCCAATGTTCATTATAAGTTTTTAATCCCTTTTAAAAAGGTTTATGCATTCATGCAAGCGTGGTCGTGTAGGCAACTTCATGGACAAACCATGAATAAAGACGCCGTGTCACTAATACTATTTAACGATCAAGTCACAGTTCCTTTTGAGAATCAAGCTTTTGATGATTCCGAAGCATTGTTAGACCAAATGATTAAACACAAGGCTCGAGGTGGAAGAGATTTTGGTCTCGCCATACAAAAAGCTGGATTTCTAATTAATCAATATTACGAGGCAAACAAGTACGTACTCGATCATTCCTCGTGTAAAACAGTATCAATACAGTATTGTGTAAATTTTTGTTTTACCATTTTAGAAAAAATATCATCATACTTCTCTCAGGAAGTGATACTGGTTGCGTGGTAGACGATCACTTTGTTCAATTTCAACAGATATGTGAATACAACAAAACAATAGGTTATGCATTGCTACGTAATTGCGTATACTTTACGTGAATCTCTGTGCTAACTAATTTGCGTACTTAGGAATCCATTATTCCTACACACGGTGCTATTCTCTAATCAATCAACAAATGCTTATTTGAAAGAAATGACCGAAATTGCGCAAAGATGCCAACCCGACAGCACTTTGTTGGATTCTCTTCGATGTCGACATTCTAAAATCACATCCGAAATAGATTTGATAGACCTTTTCAAGAATTTCGCCGAAGGAATTAATAAGGTGCAAATGCCAATGTGATTAAAACCGATATTATGAAAAAATGCGATTTCCTCATTTGAACTAATGTACATTACAATTTATATTTATTTATATTTGCATATATATATATACATATATATTTTACTGTACGTAATTGTGATTTGCTTGCAATGGATTTTTCTATTTGAGTATATTACCAAGAGTCCAATATTCTCTCAAATAATGAAATAAGAAGTTTTAGATCGCATCTAAAAGATATATATTTAACGGATGATAATAAGCTCAAGGTCAAACGACTGTATGATTTCATGATATGAGATATTTTTAAGCTACTTCAAAACTGATGTATCTTTCCAAATTTTCTATATGCCAATAAACTTCCCTATTTAACTATTATACTCTTATAAATATCACTTTGGTTGTTATTTCATTTTAATGATCAATAAACCTTATATTGCTTCAAATTATATTTCATTTGGCATTTAATATATCCTCCTTTTAAATATTATGACAATTTTCTTTATTATCAGTGATAAATCCTAAGTGAACATTTATTTATTTATTTATTTATTTATTTTCGTGATAAATTACGAGAGAAAGTTTATGAATTCATAAATATCTCGAGTAAAAAAAAAAGTTTATTGTTTAGTTTATTATTTTTCAGAATGGCATTTACTGCATACGATTTATTTTTTGAATTGTTTGTTATATAAAGTCACTTGAAAAATTAATTTTATAAAAAATCCACATTTGCGTATTACTACATCTGATTGCATTATTTTAAAAGCATAAAAATTATGCATAGAAAAAAATTTACTATTATTAATGTTCAAATTAAACTTGAATTTTAGGATTATTACCTCAATCAACTGCGACTTTATTATTGCGAGGATTTGGTGTCCGGTTTACATCAAGGACTTATTGTATTTTTCTAACCCTCTAGTATTACATAAGGAATCATTATAAATGGGTTTAATGCATTCTCCTGCTGTTACGATGTTTTCCTGGAAATTTGCTTTCCGTCTCATCGTGTCAGCCACATGTTTCTACATCATGATGCTCTTCCTATACTATTGATTTTTTTTTGCGAGTATCTTAATAATAATTCGTATACCCCAACATGTGATTTAAACACGGCTGCGTACTTCTCGCAATGTGAGTGATTTAACCATGGCCTCACAACACGCTAAGTGCGTATGAGTATTTTTTCCAATGCATTCTTCTAAGCACGCGCAGTTCACATCGATTTGGTAGAATATAGTTACTGTATATCTTTTTTTTTTTAATTACTTATTGCAAAAAAAAAAAAAAAAAAAATAGCAACAATAAATAATAAATAAAAATAAAATATGCATTTTGTAATTATAAGCATCTTTTAAAGAATAAAGCAATTATACTATTTATTACGTTATGCAAAAAATTTTAAACACAAATATAGTACCAGCCAACTTAACAACAAAAAATTGGAATTTTGACATGAAAAATGAGCATGGTTTGCAAAGGGGCATGAAGAATCCAATAACAATATAATATAAAAAAATAAAAAAGAAAGTAATGAGATAAGTATAAGAATGTTATGAAAACAGTAAGTAAAAGTCATTGGCCTTGATAATTTGGTAATAATATAACCGAAATTCACTTCCCTAGCAGCCTCACCGTTTAAATGCTCACGATTTTAAAATTTTAATATTAATAATTTTCAATACGTTGATTTTGTTACTATTTTTATATATTGTGTTTTTGGTTTCGATTTTATCATTTTCCTATTAAATTTACTATTCTCTATATTAAGTCTACAATATCTTGAAATGTAAACAAATCCAAAAAACTTTTTCTTCACAAAAATAATTCGTTTGCACGCCAATCAAAGCCGTACATAGAGTGAGATTTTCAACAGGAAACAAAAACAACAAATTATGCACCTTATCAGAAATTCACGTAAATATACATATTATTTAAATAAAATGAAGCAACCCGTTTTTAAAAAATAGTGCTATAATGGTATATAACATTAAAGGCCACGGGCTATTAATCTGTAACACAGATATTTAATAAAAATTATCTACATGTAAAGTAATCAATCTAGACTCTGAACTTCAGAAAAAGTGGTTTCTCCATCTTTGGTTGAAACCTCCAAAAATGTTCCATGGTTCACTGAAATGGTGCCTGAAGCCCAACCATATAATAAACTCGAAATTGAAAAAAATATTAATTAATCAATATACTCCAAATAAAATGAAATAAATGACAGATAAATAATTAATTATACTTTGTCAATTCATCCATAGGAGTGAAATCTGAAAAGTTAACATTCGGTATTTGTCGATTGGAAGCAGTGTCAATCATCTTGCTTTATAAAAATAAAGCAAACCGAGAATAAGTAAAATTTGAAACACAAATTAAGGCATTGAATCGCTTAACAGAAAGATACAAACGGCAAGAGAGCAGTAACTTTGGTATTTTTTGGAAGACCACTTTTTTTCCCCGCCAAGCTTTGGACTAGTTGATGTACACCGGCTTTTGCAGCCCCATAGCCGATATAACCTATTATTAGGTGGATTAGATTAACAAAAATCACGAAGAAAAACAGAATTTTAAATATGATTTTAGCTATTTTACCTGGTGTACCCTTAAGATGCGCAACACCGGTTAATGTGAACAATCCCTCTCTTGTTTAAATAAAAAAAAAAAAATGTTACTTTGAACATAAAAAACAATCACTTGAACACTCGGGATGTTTACTCTTTTAAATGATGTGCTGCCAATCGAGCTGCGACCAGTGAAGAATAAAGAATTTTCCTAATCATCAGGTCCGCGGTTTTCAAAAAATCTATAAAAAGAGGTCTATATCAATATTTACATGCATGATTAAAGTTTGCACACTAAAATGAACGTTAAAACCTTCAGAAGAGGCATTCCCTAATGCAAACCCCCCAGCGACGCATAAAATTGCGTCATATTTCTCTCCATCTTTCAACTGCTCATTTGCTTGCTTTAATACCTTTTCACCTTGAACTTCCAGCGAATCCTCAATCGAGACAATTATATTATGACTGGCTTCCGAATTTAGACGTGTACCTACAGAAGTTACTTCCTAAGATAGGGAGAATTACGTCAAATGGGTGCTAGTTTCTACATTGCGATTCAAAAATATAATACCCAATTGTTCTTTCTGAATAGAGAAATTATAGCGTTGCCCAATTGACCAGAGCCTCCATAAATGACAACTTTAGAAGACATGATTTTTGAGCTTAAATTAGATCTATGACGCTCTTTATATACATACGATCATATGACTTACAAAAGTGGCTTAGGAATAGCGATCATTAAGTACGGTTGTACAAATAGTCTATATTAGTCAATGATCAATGCGTTAAAATGAAAATAGTTACGATCATCAAAAATTTTTCGGCTCCCGATTTACTCGATAAAAGAAAATTTGATACATGGGAGGGATTTCGAAAAATCTGAAACTTTTTTTAAACATAAAAAGTTCTTACATAATAAAATTTAAGCTACACAATGAAATCTATATACTATGAAATTTTAATTACATTATGTTAGACTTTTATTATTAACATTTAAGCTTTATATTTATACAAAATTTTTTTAATTCTTGAGCTTAATTATAATATATAACATATTATTAAAACCAACAAACTCTTTCCCAATAATTTTTCAAACTGTCAAAATTTCCTTTTTAGGCAAAATCAAAAACAACGAACTCTATTCTTGCCACTAGGTAGCAACAGCTTCTAGAATAGTTTCCATAAGGCAACTAAGAAGCCTCAAAAGGCAGACAATACCGGAATATAACATTAACAGAATCAGCAAGAATAATGAAAAAACCTTAACACTTAAATTAGCAACACCTTCCTCGCAACTCAGACATACACCTTTGGGATTCAGAACAGCATACTTAACGAAAATGGCAGACAAGGGCAGAGGCAAAGATAATGGAGAATAGACCAGTATAATGGAGGTCAAATAAACAACATAGATATCAGAGAGTGAAACCAATCCCAAAACCAACAGAGCACCAACACCAGTTTCAGTACACATTATTGAAAAAAAGACTATTTCAGAACTTCCATCTCAAGAAAACTTGCAAAACATCACTAGTTAAACTAAATATACTGTAACTATGAAAATCAAGAAGACAGATGAGAAAAGACATCTCAATCTCAAAACCTCCAAGGATACCAAGAATCTCTTAGGCCAGAAAAGATATTCATTGATTCAGATCTGATTCTTAAACAAATAACTGGAAAAAAAATATACTTTATCAAACAAAATATGGCATACCTTCCTTTTTTAAATATTTGAGATATGAATATCCAATCAGCAAATCATGGATCACAACCATTTTTTGCAATTAATATATGGTACAAATGGCATGTAAAATAAATATCATAGAAAATGGGAATTCTAAATTCAGAAAGATTGTTCTATTAAGTTTCAAGAAAACAACTTCTAAATTATTATAGTATAAGATGTTTCCCTATATTTCATCGGGACTGACCTAACAGAATTTTTTGACAAACAAATCAGTATTGATTACATAATCTTGCAAAAAGTCAGACCTTTTAGACAATGAATAAAGCTTTTTCTAATATGTCAAATTATATAAAAATTAGTCAAAAATTGTCACTCACTCATAGTTTTTACTTATATAAAATCTTTTTATTATATAGAACTCATGAAGTCAAAGAAAAAAAAGAAAGATACAGCCCCACACTTATAAAACTATCACCAGATACAGCAGCATCTGATCTAGTGATCATTATTGTAAATCAATGATATAAAATCAGTTTATATTTTCTGGAATAATAACAATCAAGTCAAAAGATTTTCTGTTTTTATGTTTAAATCAAGAAAAGAACTTCAAATAATTAAATCGTTAATTCTAATAATAAAAGAAATATGAACACAATGGATTTAACATAAGACCCAACTGTATTACTTCTGTAGCTCATTAGAGTATAATATGCATACATGTCTAGACAAATCAAAGAACCTCCCTTCAAGACAAATATGAACAAATCAAATAATCCAAGAATTCACTTACAATATGAAGAAAGACTAATATCTAATTCAGGCATCCATAGAAACTTTAAAGCTGACAATAATTCAATAAGTTATGCAAATATTCTAAAATATGATTAGAAATCAGAAAACATTTAATACAATAATAATATCTAGAATTTCTTACTCTCAGTATAAAAAGATATAAAAAAAAATGAAAATTGACATATAAGATCTTACTGAAAGAGTGGATATTCTAGAACAAGAATATGTCAACAGATATATTAAAAGTATTAATGAATTAATAAAAAAGTTAAAAGAAGACATAGATATCAACAATAGAAAGCAAATATTAGAACCCAATAATAGTATTCAGAATATCAAAAATTATAAGAAGCATATTAACAACAACTAAACAGAATGAGTTCAACATAGAAGAAGCAATCAATCTCTTTAAGCTCTCCCAACAGATAGTCATAAATAAATATAGTTCCTTCCAATAATATTATATATTGAAATATAACAGAACTCTCAAGAGAAAAAGTAATAAAAAAAAGACATAATATTAAACATGCAACCCACAAATTTAAATTCAATTTTTAGCAAAAATAATATCACAAGATATATAATGAATATATCAAAAAAAGAACACAACTAACTATCTTATCTGGATATTTATAATACATAATATAAGAGAAATAATAAAAGACAACAAATAATAATTCTGGTTGGAGTACTATGCAAAGAAAAAATGGAAGATAATTATTATAATAGAAACAAATATGAACAAACTATAGATTAAACATTTGAAGTACCAAGAAAACCAATTTGTAATATCAATAGATAGAAAGCAAAAGATAGAACACAGGTCATGCAAGCCTTATACAATAATATTGTAACTAGAGTATTCAGAAAACAAGGGATCAAGGAAAGTACCATCAAAATCAACATGGAATTCCTAAAAAAAAATACAAATTAAAAATCATAAAAGTATACCCTCAACAAGAAATATTTATAATGAAATAGAATAGAGATTGAACATATTATTCAGGAATAGATAATATAGATAAAAAATATAGATACACACATAGTAATAGTAAAAAACTTCAATGTTATCCCTAATTACTCTATGGATAAGTTAAGCCATAAAAGAAATCAATTGGTCATTAGCCAGAATTGAGATTGTTAAATTGGCTAATAATTAAAAACTTTGAAGATATATTCAAAATGCATAACTCAATATAGTCAAAGTTTATATAAAACAATGATAGAGTAGCATCTGGCAAGATTAATCAAATATAGTACTTATTATAAAAAACTTAATAAATAAGTAACTTATATATAATAAATCATAAAATACCCTGCATAAAGGTGATCACAAAATTATGATTACCAAAATTGAGACATGGCAATTCAATTATCACAAATAAAAAAAATCATAGAAGCAACTCATACTATAGCTGACATAGAACAAATATCAAACAATCAAAAAAATTTAAAAATGTCTTAAAGAGTAATATAAAGAGGAAAGACAAGTTAGAGCAAGCAGAAGACATAAATAGCAAATAGAACAAACTCAAATATGCTCTCTTGGTAGTAACTAGTAAACATATATCTAGAATAAAGTCCCAAAAGAGAAGCAAAAACATAGAAAAATCTCCAATATTATAAAGAAAATTTACTAATATCCAGACATTCTTCAAAGAAGTATTAACATCCCTAATAAATATATAGAATTATTAATACAAAAACAAATCAACAATATAGAAAAGGACTTTTCAGAACTTATAAAAGAGCTAGCAATATGCAAAGACATCGATTAATAGAAGCAACAGACCCAATAGAAAAAGATATTTAGAGAATATATTATTAAGTACAAACCTGTAGCCAAGTTAAGTCAATAGCTAGTTATAAAAGAAATAGAAGAAGAATATAATAATATATAAAAAGAAGGCATCAATGGCTATTGGACAACAAGCAGTCAATTATAAATAGCATTATAGAAAATTCTAACAGATCCATCATGATAGATAAACTTATAATAAAAAAGGAGAATTAAATAGAAGTAATTACTGAATTAAAAAAAAGAAAGAAAGTAGAGCATTTCGAGACTTGGACTTATTACAGAGAAACTTTACTAGTATAAGGTTTAGTCAAATAGGTATAACAATATGCACCCAGCAACAAAATTCAAGAAAGCTTGTTCAATAATCCAATAGAACCAATAAATATATAGAAATTAAAAAGAAAATTGCTTATAAAAGCTTTAAATCAGTATAAGGATTAGATAATATTTCATATATAGCCTACAAAAATCTAGGATCAAAAACTTTCATGGTTTACAAAATTGTATAATAGGATCCTATTCTAAGGTGAGATATCAGAACAATGAAATATCAGATACATACTGTATATCTTATTTCCAAATCCAAAGAGTGGTAAAATAGAATTAAAATAATCAAACCCATTACATTACTCATTACAGGAAGAAAAATATTTACAAAAATCTTATGCAATAGTATAGCATAATGCTGCATAGAACACAGAATTCTCAATAAACTAAACTAGATAGCATTTTTGGATAGTAGTATATAAGCTTCTATATACAGTATATAATAAATATATGCATAAAGTATATACAAAAAGAAAAAAAGAAGTTGTGAATCCTAAGTCAAGAAATAGCAAAAACTTATGACTAGATCAATATAGAAATATTAATACATACAATGTGACAAATCAAGATATTACAAAGAGCAATAAACATTATACAAGCTTTATTTAGACACAGAAAGAATAAATATATAATAGCTCATGAACTGATTTTTCAATATAAGGTATTGGATGATATCAACTAGGAAAATACAATTTCATCTCTCCTATGACACATCTTTTATTATTCACTTTTAACAGAAATTAAAATATCAAAAAAAGAGTACATATATATTATTAAAACTAAGAAGTTCATCAACGAGTCACATAAGAAAAAATGTATAAAAATTAAAGCAAGTATATATATGGATGATTTAATATGGCTAGCAAAAAATCCAGAGAAACTACAAAATATTTTGA